TTCTGCTTTATTCAGATAAATCTTATTTTGTGTAAGCATTATATACAATTAATTAATTAAATATTTCTCTTTTTCTGAATCGTATCATTTCTTTTAACATATTTCACATAACACATTTATAAAATGAGTTGCTAAATTGAATTAGGATTTATGATACTACATGAAAAATCATTGTCTCTGGCAGCGTGTAGTTTTTAATAGACGATTAGATAACCTTTGTATACTTGTTTCTGACTTTGACAACAGCTTTCCTGTGAATGGACCCCTGTCTCTGTCACGGAGCAGAGGGTCTCCAGCAACCACAACTCTTTGTTGCCACAGAAACAGGCACCCCTGGCAACCACAGCATCTACTTTGCTAGGAGGATTACAACTGATCCTTTAAAGATGCAGGTGACTAGACAGAGGGAGAGATGGAGGCGGAGAGGGAGGAAAGAGAGAGCGGAGGAAAAATAACAAACGGGAAACACTGGCTTGTTGCCAAGGTAACTTGAAGACAGCACTCTTGGAGACGTCTCTATGCGATTGGCCGGCAGTGGGGGTCTGAGCTGGATAGGCTGGAGGGAGGTAAGGGGGCGGGGCTGTTGGTGAACCGGTCTGTTTGATAGGCTGACAGAGTGACAAGGTGACAGAGATCCTGAGAGCAGATACATATGGGATGCAGGAGACTGGGGGGGACTCGGTTGCCGGGTGAAGGGGTGGCATTACAAATAAAAACAGACTAAAGCAGATAAAAGCTTACGGCTGAGAGATGTTGTCATTAAATAACAAACCGACAAAACCTCTGACTAACCAAACAAATAATAAATAAATTAACAAACAATTCCTTTTTTTATTCAGCTATTTAATTTAGCTGATGCTTAGATCCAAAGTCTCTTACCATAAGTGCCTTCAACTATGATGATATAGAACAGCAAGAATCCTGCAAGGACATTAGTTTCCAAACCTTTTAAGCGCTATAACCATTTTAAATATATATTTTAAATTGTATTTTAATAAGTACAATTTTGAGCTACTAGAGTTGTTCCATTTTTTGCTACTTTGTACTTCTACTCCTACAATTCAGAGGTAAATGGTGTACTTTTCCTCCACTACATATATGTAATACCTGTAGTTACTTTACAGATGTGGATGAATGATGTGAAATATAATCAAGTGTTAAATCAGACTTTAGTTCCACCTGGAGTAAATTCACAAGCTACCCTGCAGTATACAAAGTCATTCAAACTAGCTGCACCTTTACCAGCTTTGAGAACACTTTCATGATCAATCATTATAAAACATATCATATATATTATTCTGAAATGGACCAATCTGCACAATGAATACTTTTACTGTCGCTACTTTGAGTATATTTTGATGAAAATACTTTTCTACATTTAATTGAGTAACATTTTGAATGCAGGACTTCTAGTTGTAACAGAGTATTCCTTCACTCTGGTACTTCTACTTTTACTCAAGTACAAGATCCGAGTACTTTTCCCTACTCTGTGCACACAATACAACAAATTCACTTACAAATCGACAAAAAACGTACATAATGACTGTTTACCAACCTGACAGATGATCTGGATAAAGTGACATTGATTTTTAAATTTGAATTATTGAGTACCTGATTAGTGAATAACTGAAAGTGTCTGACTAATTAATTCACTAGGTTGCGGAGTATCTAACTGATTCATTCCCTATTTACTGACTGGATAACAAAGTGTCTCCCTCATTAAATGACTAACTGTTTGATTCGTAGCCTGACTGATAAGCCTGATTAACTAACTGTAACTCTGACAATTTAAACTAAGCTTAAAACCTGACTGAGAGGCCAATAGAAGCTCTTGTGGGCAGACTACAGACTGACTGTGTGCTGCCTGGCTGATCTCAGAGCAGCAGGAAATGCAGCACATTGTTTCCTTCAGACTGCACAGGACATGTCTGAACATGCCCGGCATGCACAGCTGACCTGCAGCTGAGAGAGGAAGGGGGGGGGGGGGGGGGGGGGGGATCTGTTTACTCCTCTATCTGTCACAACACAGAGACACAGTGTCTAACCTGTTTCCTGTATCCTGTGATGCCAACACCTGAATTTCCCTTTCTACAGCCTCCACATTTCCCTCTGCGTGACTCATCCTAATATAATATGGGGTGTCTCGCTCACACATAAAAACTGCTGCAGATGTAAATGAAAAACGTACAGCCATGTGCCTGTATCTAGCCTTCATTCCCCAAATACTGGGATTGTAAAAAAGGGACATTTTTGACAATACAATAAAAATAGGTCCAAGGTCTATTCATGCAAGATATCCCAATTCCATTATAGAGATAATAAAGAAGAGGGTTTTTAAAATGTCCAAAATAATGTACTATAAAAGGTCAAATGTGTTTTCTGTGTTACCGCCCACCATTGTCAGAGTAAGTTCCCCTCTTCTCACCCCTCATGAACTCCAGACAGACAGACATTGTCTCATGAACAAACCAGTAAGAGCTCCTGAGGCAGCAGCAGCTCAGTGGTTTTTTGGTCTGTGACATCAATGAAGCCAATGCAACATTATTATTTTCACAGCTAGTGCTCAATATGTAAAATAAGCTTTGGTGAAAATACGTTTTTTTTAAGCAGATGTTGAAAATGACATATTTCTAAGTATCTGCCATTAATAACATAAATGTATGCATGTGTATGTATTGTCACATTTCTCATTGTTGTTAGAAATGAGACTACAAACCTGACTACATTCAGGTTTGCTTCTTCTCCCTGAATGTAGTCCAACAATAAAAAATAATTAAAAATACAGATCTGTTTCCACCTTCAGTCGAGGCCAAACATATCTGTGTGTTTGTGAGTTTCTCTCCGAGGTAACTGTTCTAAATCATAAGTGATGTGCCTGGTGTTACAAACACAGGGAGAGCTAACCCACATGGTTTTAACAACACCATGCTGCAACTCACATCCTATTACTAAAGAGATATAACACTTTGTATCTCCCTAATAACCTAAACCACGCTGGATGTCTTTGATTACATGTGAATAGGACTATCTTACCTGACTGCTCTCCTGAGAAGACACTGGCCCTCTCTTCCCTCCGATGGCAGAGAGGTGAGGGAGGCGTTGATGATGATGACGATGACCAAGGTAACTGCTGGTGAGTCTGGGGCTGGTCCTGGCCCTCTGGGTGGGGGTAAGGCACTGGGTATGACATATAGAGGGCCTGCAAAGGGTGCAGGTGGTGGTGGTTCTGGTGGAGGTGTAAGGCCCCGGGGCCAGTCACAGAGCCAGTGGTGATGGTGGTGGTGGTGAGCATGCCGGGCCAGTTGTAGAAGGGGCGGGGCAGCTCCATCCGGCAGGAGCTGTGGCGAGGCAGGGGGCCGTCTCCTGGTTCTCCTCCTGTCTCCCCGGCGCTCTCCATGGTCTCTGCACGGGCCATCTCAGTAGCCTAAATCACACAGACATGCACATACGTCAAACAAAGCAAGACAACCCGTACTGAAGCATCAAATCAAAATGTATAAACATAGTCATCTAAAAAACGACAAATTGAATTTAAACAAACACAAAAAACAGTGGTCCTGAGAAATCAATGTACAAAGAATTAAGAAAACACGTGCAAGTCTTGTTTGTGACCCCTCAGGATATATACTATCTGATAAGATAAGATATACTTTATTGATCCAAATTAAAGTATATATTATACTATCAATAAAAAAAACATTTAATTTGATTTAATATATAATAGGATAACATATCTCATACAAAAAACACCAGAAAAGCACACATACACACATCTTGTCTTACTCCACCAGTTTGACCCAGCAACCTACATTATAAATGATCGTACCGGCCACTAGGGCACGAGACTTGTTTGTAAACAGATCCGATCCGCGCCGATCGAGCACGAGGAAGCGCGCACGCGTACACATCATAGGTACACACAATCTCACAGAAAGGCGAGCCACGCGGAGATTTCTCTCCGCTTTGGCAATAAACTGATGATAGGAAGGATAATATCAAGAAAATAGTGAGCATAAATCCTCCACGTGAAGTGACATTAATGTAAATGTACCACTTAAAATCCCGTTTATTTAGGGTTATTTAAAAAACGCAAGGAAATAAATCGGAAAATGCGTAAAGATGTCGAATTACAGAACAACGACCCTGCTTTAAGTTTAATACATTCAATCATAAATGCATTATTCGTTTGATAAATTAACCAGTTTCTGACAGTTCTCTGGTTCTGGGGCTAAACACATTTATTTAAATAGCCTATCAATATCGTGAACCTTTAACTCTGATTTAGGATTTTTTTTTTTTTCATTAACGTTTCTGAATGTCACTTGTCCGGACATGTCTCAAATCATAAATATATAACGCGAAAGGCTCGAAGGCGCAGGGGTCAATACTTTACATCTGTTATAAAAAAGAGAGTAATGTTGACAAAATAATTTCAAAGTAGATATGTACCGATACGTTCAACCACACTTTTTTCTGACAGCTCGACAGATGATGCAACTTCAAGTTACATTACATTACATTACATGTCACTTGTTAGACGCTTTTATCCAAAGCGACTTACATACATTCAGTACTGTGGACAATCCCCACAGGAGCAATTTGGGGTGAAGTGTCTTGCCCAAGTTGTCAAAAACCTTTCCAACTTCTGCAGCAGTAAATAAAGATGAAGCGCTTACTGGCTGTTTGTGACGCTCCGTGGTGAGGCGGTGTGCAGGGCAGAGAGCAGCCGTAACAGGTGCACATCAGACGGGATACACTGTTCCAGAACAACCGGCGAAGTGTCACAAGATGTTAAAGGTCCACTCGGGAGGAATCGTGTCATTCCATGTCAAAGATCTGCCGTTGATTGTCACGGTTTATAATCAGCTGGTTGTTGTCTGTTAGATTAACCCATCCGAACATATACCGACGAGATGTACCGAATAACGGAGGAGGCTGGTCTCGGTGCTCTTCTCTGAAGATCTGTCCGGTCTGAGCGCTCTCCTGCTGCCTCACTATCTTTGTCAACACAGAAGATATACAGCGGACTTCCGGTTTGGACTTTCAGAATAAAACACACCACAACATTTATTGACCTCATAAATAGAGGCCGTTTCTCAATGTCGAGTATACCTGCTGCAGAGCCACTATTTCAAGTATACAGCATTCTGCGCCACTCTATGACGTAGTATACTTGAAATAGTGGCTCTGCAGCATGTGTACTCGACATTGAGAAACGGCCACTGTGCCACAGTGACGCGTCCTAAAACCCGGAAGTAAGTTAGCATTTTACCACTTCCGGTTCCTTCGACAAAAACCAATGCAATTTCTCCATAGGATTTTGGAAAATAGCTCGAAATAAGGTCTGTGGTTGACACAAATTGAAGAGACAGATCACTTTCATTCGGATAATCTCCACATGTCTACCCTACTTTTATAATTTTCGAATCATAAATCTATCGATTAGATTTATGAGAAATTGCATTGGTTTTTGTCGAAGGAACCGGAAGGAGTTTACATCCGGGTTTTAGGACGCGTCACTGTGGCACTCTGGGTGTTTCTCAATGTCAAGGAAGGATGCTCCAGAGCCACTATTTCAAGGATGCTACGTCATCGAGTCCCGCCGAAGGACTGTTCCAATGTCCAGGCTCCTTGGAATTCCACCGAGCCCGGTGTCCTTCGTAGCGAGAAATGTCGAGGCTGCACATGTGTATCCTCCGCGGTCTTAAAATCCCCACAATGCTTTGCGCACGGACCAATTTCCAAATCTTTGGCGGAAATCGTGTTCCATTTAAGGCGGGGCCTCGCATTATATGACGCACACCTGTTAGCCTGTTCCACCATTCTTCGTTTTCCGAAGCTGAAGGATTCTTGCCTCGCTTCTGAAGGAAGTGACTCGGAAGACATGTCCTACCAAGGAAGCGTCCTCGACATTGAGAAACACCCAGTATGTCGTGTTGTTTACTTTTGCACATTCTTGCACAAAACAGCGGAGCTCTTTTATTCAAATCGGATACATTGTGCATATATTTCTTATATTTCTTGACTTTTGCAGGCCTTGCTATCCTTTTCTTTTCTATTAATATGGGTATTGTTATGATCCAAAATACTGACATACAATGTCCAAACATGCTTTACCCTAGTGAATGAACATTGTTTTTTTTAAATACCAATTGTATCCTCTATTTCAATTTATTTCTGGACCGTACACCGAATAAATACATTTATATATTTTAGTTCACTCCTGCTTTTATTTTGATGGCCAGTCCTTTCTGGTCTAGACCACCTCCTCCTCCTCCTCCCTGACAAGTGCTGACATGCTCCTGACAGGATGCTGCTGTCTCACTTTCTCTCTTTCTTCTTCTGTTGTTTTTTGTAACAAACTGCGACTTTCTGCAGCAATATAAATACATAATAATAATACTTTCTTATATATGTTATAGTTGTAAGTGCATTAACATACCACTTAAGTCCTAGACACCCCCCTCACATCCTGTGGTTTTCCTCCAACTCCCTCCTCCCACTTCTTATCTCTCATCTCAGGACTCAAGACATTTCCTCAACAAAACATCCCCCTACACACACACACACACACACGCGCGCGCGCGCGCACACGCACGCACGCACGCACGCACGCACGCACACACACACACACACACACACACACACACACACACACACACACACACACCCTCCTCCTCACCCCAGCTGGCTTCCCTTCATTTGTAACACAATGTGATCTTGAGTAGAGCTGAGTCAGCCCTTTGTGTGCAGTAGATCTGTTTATTATAACACATGTGTTGCAAGTGTCAACACTATTATGACCTATCATTTCTGACAGTTGGGATTTAGTTTAGGCTAGACTCCTCTTGAATGAGTTTTCAACATGTCCTCTTTGTGTTTTAGTCCAGTGGTTTTGATTATTTTTAGCCTTTTAACAAAACACTAGGATGAAAACCAACTTAGATTTTCTGCAAAATTAACAATTTCCATGATTAACATTTCTTTGAGTATTTTAATGCACTCCAAAAAGGTGATGTGTAACAACAAGTGTGTCAGTTTGAGTGTTGTGCAAAAAGCGCCTCGGTATTTACTTTTGAGTAGCTGTGATTAGAGTCTAGATGTTCTACTTTTACAGACTGCAAATAAGATGGGGAAAATAAAGAGTGCCAATACCCCTGTTCTTATTGATGTGCTTTGATCTTTAAGAGATTATCTTATTCTGAGATTTGTAGTGGTGGAAGAATTATTCAGATGTTTCACTCAACTAAAAGGAAATGCCATCAAAATATATTTAAAGTACAAAAGCTGGAAAAGGTGAGGAGAGTTTTCCTTAATCAGAAGAAAAAATGGATCATAAATAGTTTAATTCTATTTTCCAACAATGGTCTACATTTGTAAAAGTAAGTTAACTAACTAGCTAATATATATAATACATGTAGTGGAGCGAAGTACCTCAAGTTTAATTTAATACAGTACTTGAAAATACTTAGTCACACACCACTGGTCAGACACAAACTACATCATCATGGTTACACAAACATATTATGTTATGTATATAAATACGTATCATTTTGATCCAGTCCAATGAAGATTATAAGTAGCTGCACTGATGGAGCTATAGTTATCCAGCAGATTGTCTTTTGCATTATTTAACGGGGAAAAAACAATTGTTTCTGAGAAAGATACTCATGTGCTTTGTCTTTGACTTCAATAATGAAGCCAAGGAAACATTCTCATGTTTTGTTGGTGCTCAATGTAAAATCCGCTTTGGTGAACATTTGTTTTGTTTTGCAGATTTTGATGGTGATATTAAGCTACATCTGTCCATAATAATATATATTTATGTACACGTTTGTATTGTTCTTATGGGTGATTTTGCTACTTTTCACTGAATGCAGTTAAACACTAAAAATAATTCAAAATACAGACCTGTTCCCACCTCAGACCAAACAGGTGTGTGTTTGTCCGTTTCTTTGAAATGTAAACAGAATCTTTGCACTTTAAGCTTCAATAGAAATCCTTTTGATGGCATTTGGGATAGATTTACTAAACCCAAACATTAGAAATGATAATCCCGGATTAGTGAATATTTTTTGTAAACACTGGAATCCATTTATGACAAATCGCTTAATCCAAATATGCAGTGAGCCAATGACACATATGGCATAATTAATAAATACTTCCCACGCACATTTGAAATAAAAAGTGCTCAACACATTTTTGAAAAATGTCTGGTGTTCATTGACTGATTTGACTTGTTTTAATCTCACTTTGACACATAGCATGTTCATATTCAGGGTGTGGGCTGCAGCACTTATGATAGTCATCTTTAATGAGAAGAACCTGCATTAAAGTTGTCATTACAGCAGGCTAATTGTTCCAGCTTTTACACTTTGTAGTCTGCAAACCGTGCATAGCATTAGCATGAGAAATGACTTCAGACACCCCTGCTGTGGTGACCCCCGACCCTCAGATCATTGTCCTGTGGCCCCGCCCCCCAGCTGCAGGGCATGGAAATGGCAGCTTGTCTGAAGAACACCCCCATTCTTCCTCCAGCAGCAGATTGGTGCACACCCTCTTGTTTGGTAAAGGGGGGGGGGCTGAGTCCCCTCTCAGGTACATGCCCGGGCAACACCCTCTGCCAGCCACACTGCCTGACACGTGGTCCACAGTTAGCTGGTAGAGATGGGATAATGAATGCTAATGCGAGTCAACATTGTAACATCAGTGATCCTGTTAGGCTGCCTTTGTTATATCGTTGCTGATTTCCTTTTATCGTGAAAACCCTGGATTACTTTTCTTAAAATTAGCTGCCAAAAGCTTGTCAAAATATTCTTAGGTCCAGAAGTGTAATTTTAATGAAGTCAGTAGTTCTTACTAATGTCTTAACTGTCTCATGAATATTTTAGATCTGAATTGACGGCAGCACCAACACACTAATCACAATCTCCATTTAAAAAATGAACACAATGTTTCATCTCTCTAGAACACACATTCTTATAAATACAAATATTTTTTGTAAAATACCCATATACCTATAAGTAAACATAGTTTTGCATGTGTGTGTGTGTTAATACATTTCAGTTCTCTCTCCCACAAGACATCCGCAATATGGACTCACTCTCAACCTTCAAATCCTGCCTGAAAGCCCACCTTTTTAAACTGGCGTATTCTATATCATAATTCCTCTAAACTGATTGTTGTTTTTTAAGTCTTTGTTTTTTAAGTCTCGAATTAGTTTGACCTTCTTTGTTGCTTGTTTTTAATTATGCTCTGTAAGGTGTCCTTGAGAGCTTTTAAAGGCACCCATAAATAAAATGCATTATTATTAGTTGTACATTATTGTAATCATACCACAGAGAGGTGTGATGACTTATAAAAGAAGTGCTGTCTATAGTGTTTGTCCGTGTGTTCATGTGTGTTCTTTTTACTCACTCTTACGACAGTATGCTTGTAATATTTTCGAGTTCCATGTACATTTTATGAACATTAAAATATTACATTCAGATGTCTGGTGAATAAAATCCTTCATATGGGTCAAATGTATAGTTAGAATTGGCCACGATCATAATTACATTACATGACATGTTACTTGTTAGACGCTTTTATCCAAAGAGACTAACATCCTCAATACTGTGAGCAATCCCCACAGGAGCACTTTGGGGTGAAGTGTCTCAGGGACACAACGACATGCTGACTGCAGTGGGGTTTGAACCTGTGACCATCTGACCCCCATATAGGCTCTATCCACTGTGCCACACGCCTGAGGTGATGTCACCTGCAGGGACCATGCCACACAGCATCATCAGCATTGTTTTCAGTCCTGCAGTGTGGGTGTGTGGGTGTGTGTGTGTGTGTGTGTGTGTGTGTGTGTGTGTGTGTGTGTGTGTGTGTGTGTGTGTGTGTGTGTGTGTGTGTGTGTGTGTGTGTGTGTGTGTGTGTGTGTGTGTGTGTGTGTGTGTGTGTGTGTAACCCGAGTGCAGAAAGCAACTAGAGAGAGATGACGGCACTAGATAAG